CAGTGGTCACTACTAGACCTTGGTACCAGGAAGATTCGTATTCAGAGCAATTAAGCAGCGCTTCATCGCCCTCAAATCTACGCGCCATATCTGCCAAGATGATTCCTGACAAGCTTGTTTGTGAGCAATGCTGCCAAGTACCCATTAGCCGAACACAGCGTATTTGTGGAGGCTGTGTACAAGAAACATTCCAGCGACATAAGAAACTTACAGAGGCAACAGATATGCTCTATTGATAATTAAACCCGGGTATGGAAACTATAAATTTCATACTTTAAGATGAATTTTAAGTGTAGAATTCCATGAAAAGTGGAGCTGTTCAAATTCCATTTCAAAATCATTAAATTATCTGATTAAAATCCAAATTCTCTTCATCGTCTATTTTAAAAGATGGGAGGATTTTGATTTTGATCCAACATTGGTGTGTTTATAGTGTAAACTACAGAACAGTTTGTAGTCAAAAAAAATATGTAAAAATAATGAAATTTTGTGTAGTTTCTAAGTACATGTAGTACATTTAGTACTTTAGAAGTACATTTAGTACTTTAGAAGTGCTCATACCATTGACCAACTCTAGTGCACTCTCTTCAAAATTTTCCAGAAATATTTTTAGAGTTACAATATGTACAGCTTTTTTTCTAAAATGGCTCTTTGAAAGACAAGGTGAACAATTTGAAAAAAACTCATTTCTGAGTTCTCTTCTCTGACAACTGTTTTTGAAATACTATAAAAGTCTTGATACATTTAATGAAGACTTTTATTATGTACAAGGATGAAAATATATAGATAGTGTTATGAAATTAAAAACGTTTTCGACTATGAGTCATCTTCAGTTGTGTCTAAAAATTTACATGTTTGCATTTATAAGGGGGCTAAGATATCCCTGAGGGATAAAGATTTGCAATGAAGCATTTCACTTGTTTGTTAAGTGTCGGTGAAGATGACTCATAGTCGAAAACGTTTTTAATTTCATAACACTATCTATATATTCTCATCCTTGTACATAATAAAAATATTTTAAGCGAAATATGACCATTTAATGAAGAGTTACTACGTTATTTTTTCTTAGAAATGTAAATAGTTTTTTCCAATATTAAGATACAAATTTTGAGTAATTTTGTAAAATATAACTGTTACCATGTAACCCAAGTATTCTACAGCACAATGCTCCTTACCATGGCCACCCATCACAAAGTTTTGCAAGTTAACTAATAAGAAAGAAATATTTTATTTTGAAGTAACTTCCAAATGTTAGATTTAATACAGCTGAAATTACTTGCCTTTTGGGCTGCCTGCTTGATATGGACAATCTGTATGTACACCAAGATTTTTCTGTTCTAGCAACCTTTCATCCTTGTTAATATGGCTGCCCTGTTAATATGGTCTATTTTTGATGTCCATTTAGTAGTTAGACTAATTGGGTTCCACTTTCAATCAATCAATTATTTGCCCGTCCCTCCTCAAGAGACATTTAGCTGTCATTCTACTTGAATGACGTTCAACCTTTACTAATTAAACTGTTTTCCTTTCGCCTGAAACAGGCTTTCTGTATTTGACTTGGCTTGTAATCGTTCAATCGCTTATAAACTGTTCTTAAAAACTTTGGATTCAAAAGAACGAGTTTCCCAAGCAATATTTTTAGTTCAAACGTATTTCAAGTGATGGTTTAGGGCATCTTGCTGTAGCAACCAAAGCAGAAACACTGTAAAATCATTGTTGACCAACTGTATATTCGTTAGTTATACAAGTATCATATTTCCCCAGTTCTTCTCAGAAGACTTAGGCAGTGCAAACTGGGACTGACCTATCTGTATGACTTCATTATCACCTCAAAGTGACTATGTATTTGAAGTAGTCAATAAAGAACAAAAGAAAACTATAGAAAGACTATATTCATCTTTTCAATTATTTTCAACTTAAACACCACAGAAAGTTAGTTCTTTTAATAACTGACAACTTTTGCAGGGGTGTATCCTGGATTTTCATTTGGGGAGAGGGGTGGAGAGGGTAGGGGGGTCCCTACATTATATGGGTTTTGATTTGAAATTGAAATGAAACCGCTCCTGAGAAGACAGAAAACTGAATTTCTTAACTGCTTAAGTTGATTCGGAAAAAATCCTCACACTCTTCACCAACTGTTAGATTTTTTGGCTTTGAAAGGGTGGTCATGGGTACCCTGTGGCCCTCCCCTGGATAGGGCCTTTGGCTTGAGGCGGGTTTGTAGTACTTATTCCATATATGGCACAAGSGCATAGGAACAAGCGAATAGAAGCACCTAACAAGGGAACAGGRGTCCATACTCTTTCTCACTTGTACATTTTTCTACAGTTTGTCAGGATGCCTGCGTAGAGAAAAAGCACAGGCATCCCAACCAAGAGACAAAGAAATTTTTGGCATTCAATTTGAATGAAAATTCTGACAACCTTCTTTTTACTGAGATTTAATTTTACATTTTTACTAAGAATATGATATGTACAAGATAATTCCTATCAAATCAATGTCCATTTAATTCCTGTAACTGAGTTATTCCCAAGTCTGTCCACTTCTCCTCTTGTTCTTTTAAGGACTCTAATGCTCCATTATCTAAAATTCCAAAGAAACAATAAATCAGAAGGTTTAGACTTTAGAGTAATGAAAACAGATTGAACTAAAGGTGAATTTTCTTTGTCTTGGCTCCCTGTGTCATCTTGAAAGGAAACCTTTCCTTCGTATTTCATGAAGCAAGGCAAACTAGCCATCGTCAGAAATGTAGGCCTTGGAGACAATTGGAAGAAGGTTAACCATGATTTCCCAAGGATTACTAAGAGCTTACAATGACCAGATACATGATTATCTTTGGACAGAAAACGTTGTTTATTGCTCAGAGCTTATTGGTCAAATGGCAAGGCTATACTATGCAAACTGGCATAGAACAAAAGTGCTACTTGGATATATCCTTATCTAGGGGTCTAAATCTATGCAAAATCAAGCCATTTATTAAAAAGTATCAAGTCTATATAAACATTATCGATTCTTCATTCAATCAGGTCCTGTGGAAGTAGATAATCTTCAAAAAGTGATAGTTTTGTAAATGCCATGTTTTTACTACTCAACTATATGAAAGTCCATCCTCGGGAACCCAGGCGTAATCTCGAACGACAGAAAATCACGCCTGGGTTCCAGAGGATGTAGGTAAGTCAAGCGAAATGTTTGGTGTAACTTACTATCAGTGTCGTCAACTGGAGGCAGTTCAAACTCTGGGACAGCAATTTCTAGAATGTGCAATCATTTAAGTGTAATAGTTAGTAGATGTCTAGTTAATAGAATGATTTTCCGCTCGTTTSAAAGGATAAAACAAGAATTTTAATTACCTTCATTGGGCAACTTTTCTTTTTTCCATTCGTCATCAATCAACTCAATAAGCCGACCATTTCTATGTGCATGCGAAAATTCACTGTCCTGGAATCAAGGCAAGTCAAAAATTGAAGAATTTTCGAGCGAAAAAAAGACGAAATTATGCTTCATACCTTCGACATCTTTTGGCGCCTTCATAATATGCAAATTTCGCCAGGCGTTCCTTAGAACAACACAGGAAACCCATTAATTATKTGGACGGTCTGCATAGATTCCTGAAAATTATCAGCATTTCAAGTCTTTAAAACCAAATAAGGAAAAAAAAGCCGTTGATTTAATGCAAAGGTTATCATTCATTAACAGATAAACAATTAATCCATTAAAAATAAACAAAAAATAATATCGCCTAAGGATTACCCCACCCTTGGAAGTACGTCATTTGACCACACAATTGAATTCCCCAGGGCACCCTACACTGTACAAAAGAATCGCCCAATGCAACAAAGCTACACAGACGACAATGGCGGGCCAAGACAATCTTGAAGTCCAGCAATTAAAGTAAGTTTTTCTACATTCTATGCCCTATTTTTCGGGATGATCTTTGTACGACTTATTAAGCTAATATTGCACCGTGYTTAAGTCATATTAATAGTACCTTGTATTCGCTTTTTTGAATATTTTCTCGACCATTTCCTGAGWCAAAATATGAAGTGCTGGTCAAACAGATGTTTCAGCAACGTTTATGTTGGTTGAATTCCGCTCATATGTAAATATGAAATTCTATTTGAGGTTAGCAATAAATTTATTTAAAAGAAAGGGAGAGATTCGATCTGAAATCTGGTTAGTTGTTTGCACTGATGTACTGAACTCGGAAATGTTCCTCTCATTTAACATCCGCTGTTACAACATCCTCAGCCGATTAATTTTACATTATTTCCCAATTCTTATTTTGTTTAAAGAAAAAGCTTATTATTCAACTCCAAATAACTCATATTAAAAGATTGGAGAATTTATAGTCGTTTTAATAAGCATCAAGTTATCTATAATCAACATATAAGCCTACTTTTGATAATATTTTTTCTTACGTAAACTTAATAAAATACATTCTGTGATGCTTCATGTCAAACAAACATTTTAAACAAATCACAAATTATTGCTTAGTTTAARGCCAACATTGCRAATTATTCATTGCATATGGATTTAAAAAACATCATGCTGTTGTAGTTTGTATAATTAGTTTCCAACCACTTACAAGTAATAGACAAAAGAGATTAGAAATGAAAGCAAAACTTCAAGGTATTATCCCTACCGCCAGTTTATTGAAGTAAAGTACTTATTAACGACTTAAAAGTCGAATATAGTAGTTACTTACGTTGGTTATGTGCACGAAAAGGAAATTTAAATTAGAGAATTTCACGAAAAGGAAATTTAAATTAGAGAATTTAGGTAAGACATAGAATCAAAAGCAAGCTGTTTATAACAACACTGTCAGAAAACTGCTAAAACACGTTTCTGATATCTATTGAAAATATTTGCTGAATATTGAATTTTTTAAATTTCTTGTGGAAAAAAGCCAAACATTGATATCTGCATTTTGACAACTAAGACGGATATGTAATGTTTATTCATCACTTAACATAGACAAATGAATTTTATCAAGAGTCTGTAACAAAATAGGACTTGGAGGGACTTGGAATACATCAACTTACCTAGCTATAATTGAGCTATCAGTGTCTTCAAAATCTTGAGCATTATTTTCTATTGACAAGGGTTTGGATGTGAAAATATCCGATGCAAAATGTTTGACCTTTTAGGACAGTCAATTTTTTATCGGGAAGGGAAGGGGGCTGGTGGTTTTTGAAACTTTCTCCAAAAAAAACTCCCCCTCCCCAGTTGGATACAATTTTTTTAAATGACCCCCACTTTCTTGATTCTTGAGAAATATATTGTTTTGACAAGTAATATAGGACACTTTTCTGCATGTACCCCCTCCCCTCTAACATGATTTTTGTTTGGATGCTCCCCCCTCACAATTACCAGC